ATGGACCTAATACAATTTCCCTCAGTGACCTTCATCAAGGAAATAAGAACTTTTTCACTGTATGCTAGAAGTAATCATGCCACAGCACAGGTTTTTGCAGGCTTTCCAGCATTAAGGACAAGCAAAAGTGTCATAATGCAGTGGCTGAACCTCAGGAGTGCTGAAAAACCCGTGTTTGCCATATTTTTCACAAAAAAAAAAAAAAAAAGCATGAACCGTTGTGCACCCAGTCAAGGTTAAGTTGCAGGGAGCCTGAGTGGGAACCACCAGGCAGTTACTGCACAATGCTCAACTCGCTCCATGGATTTTGGCAGGCCCCGAAGTGTCATGCCAAATAATGTCATATTCCCCCTGCCCTTGCTTGTGAGACAGTGAGCCTGACTCTTGCACAAGTGAACCAGTGCAGCTGCGAACCTGCATGACACATGCCCAATCTAGCTGGTCAGGAGAAGCTGTGATGGTTTCTGCAGATGGGCCACAAACCACCGGACTAGGCAACGCTGAGGTACAACATGGCTTTGTGGTGCTATCAGCATAAAGCATCCATTCTCTCTCTCAATTCTTAAAACTATACCTCCCCGCAGCGCAACTCAGGTCTGCACCAAAGGATCTGGAACTCTTCTTGCTTGTCTGGGAGCTGCCCCGTCCCCAGCTGCCCCAGACATTTCCCCCAAAACCCCTCTGGCCAGTCTTTCTGCACCACTTGCAGGGATGCTGGCGTACGCTGGCACAGGCACTTGCTAGGTTTTTGGCAATCCGCGATCAGCCCTGTATCTGCCCTCTGGTTCAACCTTGCCAGGTAGCATATCCCCAGGCTCTGGGGTCTGAGCATGAAGCCTTAAGCTGTATGGGCTAAACGAGGTCAAATTTGTCCGTGCTGCCCCCAAAAGATGATGATGTTTTCTGTCACTTAAGCACTTCAGGAGACCTTTGAGAATACAGGGAAGGATTTCTAACATAGTCTGATACCGTTTGATTGGCGGTAGGACGCCCACGGCTTGCTATAGCAGCCATACGGGTGGGAGATGAGCAATTCTAGGGACTGTTATAGTTTACACTGGATATCGCAGCAGTGCTGTCATGAATGGGTGTCTTTTGCTGAGCAACTTGCAGACAGCCTGTGGGGCTGGCATCATTCCTGGCTGGTGGTGTCGGTAAAGAGCAGTGATCGGTGCCGGGAAGCCACGCTGTGCTTTGGCTGTCAAGAGCTGGGGCCACCCTGAAAGCTTCGGTTGTATCGCATTGCAAGTAATTCACTTGAGTCCGGTCAGGCAGCGGCTACAGCTGTTGATCCACGGCTGTTTTATGGCTTTATCATTTAATCTTGGTGCTCCTGGTTCAAACAGTGAAATTACTGAAACTGTCTTCTCCTAGCCATAACGAGAAAAGAGACTATCTCTCCACGTGCCTCTAATGGGCTTTTGAGGAACAGCCACCTTCAAAATTCCTTTGACGAACTGCACCCTTCAGGTCTATCAAACCTGGTAGCTTACCAATGTTTTTGTACTAACTGCAAGTCTTTACCAAATAGAGAGAGAGAGAGGGAGAGACTATGAACACTGAGCCAGTCAACTCCACACACTTAGAAGTTACCATTGGCGTGTGCAGCATTTGACAGGTAAGCATGCACGTGCGTGCAGAGCAGGGGAAGAGTATCTGCTGGTTGCGTTTCTAGCAAGCTGGGTGTGCACGCATAGCTGGGAGGCAGGGCCTGAAGAGAAAGCATCCACATTTACACGCCCTCTTGCAGCACAGTTGTAAATCTTGCAAGGCAAGGCATGGTAAGCAAGATGGTATTTACTGGAGGCAAGCGGGACGTGTGAAGGTGGCCGAGCACTGGAACAGGTCGTCCAGAGGTTGTGCAGGCTCCTTCCCTGGAGATATTCAAAAGCCATCTGGACACATTCCTAGGTGATATGCTCTAGGTGACCCTGCTTGAGCAGGGGTAGGTTGGCCGAGATGAGCTCCACAGGTCCCTTCTAATCTCAACCAGTCTGTGATTCTGGGGTTTTGTAAAAAGGAGAAGCCGCTTCCCAGCTGCTGAGCGTATCACAAACCTTGGGATGGCCATCGAGATAAACCTGTAGAGCGAGCGAGTGTTTTAAATACCAAGCTGCATCCCCTTAGAAGCGTGTGGTGCTCTTTCCGCCTTGCGACAGGCCTGGCCCATTTGGTTCCCACTGCAGGGCTTTCACAGAGTAAGCTGAGATTTGGAGCAGACATTGGCCCCTTTCTGCCATCGATGAGGAATTCAGGGCTTTGTTTTTTCACCCTCTTCTGCGGTTTACGCACTGCCCAAGTATTCCAGCTCCGTGTATTTAGCTTCTGGAAGGTTGCAAGCTGTGAGATGCTGAGTAATCCTGCTGTGAAATCACTGCGCTGGCAAAAACGCGTGCAGCACCAAGACAGACAGACACAGCACCAACCACGACTGCACCGTCCTTTCCCCTGGTCCCTGCACAGGCGAGTCTTGTGCGCAAGGACTGTCTGATTAAGACTTAATTTTCTTCAAGGATCCTAACAGGCCCCTGACTGTTCTGTGGGGTTTCCTTTGCAATCTTGCTCATAGCAGCATACACTTGAAAAAAAGGAAGAAAAAAAAGTTTCTGTTTTTCTGCTGAATTTCCTTGTTCTGCTGAGTACAGGGCTTTCCACTTGGACAGCCCAAAAGTTGGTCATTGAGATAGTGCTTGTACTGAAAAAAGTGTCTGCTGCCATATGAAGCCACAGAACCGTTGTGGAGGAGTGTACGGGTTTAATCAGCGGCAGCAGCAATAATTATTACAGTGATTGCTCAGTTACTGAGTAGTTTGCAAGAGCAGTTAATACTTTGCATGCATTTTGCAAGTTTCCATGGTTAAATTGTATTTCGAGATCCAGATACTTTCTTCTATTTACTGTATCTGCAAAAGTAAGGCTAATGGAAAGCTTTTTAAAGACAAGGAGAAGCTACTGCGGTTCCTGTAACAGTGCATACTGTTATTGCGCCCAGGTCAGACACCTACTGGCTGCTCCCAAGCTTAATTTATAGTATTATATCCACAGAAAAGAAAAGGGGGGGCGGGGGGACCCTTCTAAAACTTCTGCACCTGTGAGAAAGATTTTTCCGAAGCCTTCCCTTCTCCAGTGCTATGCAAGTTATTGAAAGTCATGGCAAGTTTGATTACAATCTGGTTAGTCTTTCAGATGAACCCTGCCTGTTGTTCACAGCACTCATGCAAAAGTTGGCATAGCTGTGGGGGGCAGGGGGGGAATGAACATGTACCAGACAAATAGAAAACTGACACTAGCAGGGAGAAAACATGTCTCTAAAAAGCGTATGACCTTATCAGAGTGTTTAGTAAGAACCAAACTGACAGATCTTGCAATAATGATGATGTAATGAAATAATAACAGTACCTTCAATGGGATTAAAATATAACATTTTACTAGTTATTTCAAAGAATAGGCTTTTTCTTCCCAGCACTCTCGTCTGTATGTTCCGACTCTATCATCTAAACTCCGAACAGCTATTTTTTGCACCAAGTGCAAATATGCCAAGAGAAGAGAGTTAGGAGAAATAAATACCAAGTTTTTTTTTTTTGAAAATCTCAGGTTGAAAGGGAGGTATTTGACAATGATGTCACGTTTACATCAGCTTGTATAACATGCGAACAGCTTCTGAAGACTGGCATTGAGAGGAATCTCCTGGAGGGGAACCTGTGCAAGGGGGAACCGAGATCACAACAGCAGAAGTCCATTTACTACCAGAGCAGAAGCAACAGCTCTTGCCATCCGGCCCTTGTCGTGAAGCTTAACTATAGCACCAGGAAAAGAATGATGATGCCCATCGTTTCCTTATAATTGCACAAATTTCTTTGTTGACTCTTCCTATCTTTCAAGAGTTACCCATACTAGTCTCACGACTGGTTTAATCTCATGCCGAAAGAGAGAACAATCTGCATGGTAGAACAGGACACTTTTCTCATGTGAGTATTTCTTTTCTTTCTAATATCGCCTTGGAGAAAATACTTTGCTCTATAGTGCTAACAGCTCTCAGGTATTCCTTGGTGATTATGGGCAGCAGCATTTCTCTGCTCTATTCAAGTTGTAGTGAGACACTCCCACTACTTTCTCGAGCTACAAATAAAAGCGGGTGCCGATATTTTACAAAAACCACCTTGCTTCAGGTTTGCAAACCGATTCTTTTGTGCGCGTTATGCCACCCTTTGCCCTTGACAGATTCGTATATGCATATAAGCGTCACAAAATGTTCACTTTTTATCCCCTTCACCGTGATCCGTTTGTCTTTACGGCAGGTTTACATGCAACACTGGACTGGAACGGTGATTTGACTTGTTTAACCCTGTAGCTCGGCGGGGTTGAAAAATGCATCTATCCCTTTCCTGTTAATTACTTTTTATGCCTATTTCTATCATACCGACTCTGGTATCATCCTGGTTTAGTTCAGAGGAGTATAGCCCTAGGATGACAGTTATTGATGGGGCACAAAAACTGGAGCTAAAGACCATATAAAGACAAAAACAAGACTGATGTGGGAAGAGATGAATAACTGGCTGTGGAAAAAACCTGGAACGAGCTAATTTACAAAAGAAAATGAACAAAGCACGGCCCCATAACGGAGTAAGATTAACTGCTGCACGTTTTCTTCCACTTGCACTTTTTTTAATCACACTTACTTAATCTCCTGCTCCACTTTTCAGGGTAACAAGGTTGCACTCTTACGCGTGCTTAGTTCGCTCTTACCCACGTTTGCTGGCTGGGTGTCGAACGATATCCTCTCTTGGCAGAAACTGGAATTTCACTATCGCCTGTGGCACTTACTCAAATTTACACCAGCCGAGGATTTGCTCCATTGACTTTCATGGATTTATTTTTAATTTATTACTGTGAGTTCAGAATCAAGTGCTCTGGATATAAATCTAGAACATAAATAGACAATTTCCAAATGTAAACAGGAGAGCCACAAGTACCATACAGAAAACCAAGCTAGGCACGTATAGAGTTGTCTGAAAAGTTAACCAAATGTTGCTGTGCATTTATTAGTAGTTTACTGTTTATTAAACCATAATCAAGATCCAAAGGAACTAATAAATGTAAATGAAGTATTGTTTAGTGAAATGGGAGCCTGTCAAAACAGTTGTTGGGGAGGACAATTAATCGGTACAAATGTGAGTGCAAATTTTTTTTTTTTAAACCTTTAAAGCATGTTGTCTGTAGTATACAACATATGTGCACAATACAAATTTCATACGTTTTCCTCAGTGACAATAAAAAGCGCAGTTTATAATAAACTGAAGTAAAAATTAAAAAGAAAAAAATCACAGTTTTGTCATTGGTATGTGAAGGTTATTCCAAGGGCCCATCCAGAGCTCCTCTTCGTCGGACTGCGTGTGTTCACTGTGTGACTCCAAGGGCTCTTTGACGTCCTCGTTGTCAACAACTGACTCTTGTTCTTGTGTGCTTTTCATTTTGGTGCCCCCTGGCTTTGTTACTATGTTTTCGGCCCCTACAGTAGAGGAAGCAAACGAGACGCTACAAGGTCTTGTGTTCATTTTATCACTAGAAGATGGTCCCATTGACAGTGTGTTCAGCGGGACGTTCTCCTCGTGTGTCACCGCAAGCTTGTCCAGTTTCTTGAAGTGTTTCCCCAGTCTCACTGGAGATGTCACTTTTAAATTATTCGCAAGGCAAACGCGGCGGGTTCTGACAACAGAGCCGTTCTGAGCAATGTAGATGTTACCGTTGACGTTGCTTTGGATATTGGGGTTATTAAGACGATTCCTTTGAGTGGAGTCCGGAGCGCTGTCTTCTCCAGTGGAGCTGGTCTCGTATTCGGGGTCGACTATCAACTTGATCCTTTTCTTCCTGGCCCACTGTTGGACAATAAATAGAAACGTCATTAAATCACAGCACTAGTATTTCTTACGTTTGCTTGTCCCTTTTTCCACCGTGTTCCTGTCTACTATTTATCTGGTCTTTTATCTAGAGGCTTCATAGGAATTTTCATAAACTGGTCTTCTTTGCCTTCCCTTTTAGATTGTACGCTAGTATGTCCTAACCATTCCGATTGCTACTACGTGACAATAGCATAAACACTTCACGCTGGAACACGCACACCATTCCTTCTACTAAAAAGTTGCAAAATGGATGTGCTCACTGCAGTTCAGCAATGGTATCGTGCCATTTAGATGGCGTGTATATGTATAAAAAATATGCTTTTTTTTCTTCATGCTTGGAAGATAGTGACAAGTATTGAAGGGTCTTCCCCCCCCCCCCGCCCGGAAGATGTATTCAGCTGTACTCCCATTAAGTCAAAATGCATCTTCTTGGAGAATTCTGGGAACGAGGACCTTACTTTCTGAAAGTAAGCTTAACAGAAGTGTTCTTGTAAATCACATTTTTGGTGAACCAGTCATATTTTGACAAAACAATGTCTCAGCCTGTCTTGCAAAGATACAGGAGAACCAGCTAGATTAATATCCCCTTCTAAGAGCAACTGGAATGCATTGACAGCCAGGAAATGGTGTAAGTGATGTTTTGAAGCAAGTACCCTACTATCAGGTGAATGCTTAGGCAGGCACTGGAAGATTTCTTCTAGAGCGCTACGAAATTGTAAAGTCAGTGCAGAAATGGCACTGAGCAGGTCTACTTTACATGCACAGCACATCAAGGAGAGAAAGCTCTGAGGACCTACACAAGGGAAATTCCCAGGTCCTGTACTGGCAGAACTGGGTGGCGAAAAAAATAAATTCTTGATACAAAGCTTTGTGCCACTTGAAATCTAGCGGAATCGATGACGACGCTTTGCTAGAGAACGCAATTAAGGCAATGGAGAAATGAGACTTCAGAGTTTATGTAATTTGCATGTATCTTCCAAAGAGTTAATGCAAACTTAATTTCCATGTTGCTGTGACTTGGTATTAACAGTGATTAAACAAAATCCATTACTTAAAGGTACAATTGATTCTTCTTTAAACTGCTTCCTTGCAATACGCTGCAACAAACAATTATCATTCTGGAATTAATAATGGAAGCACCCTTACTGCAGTAAGGCAGCAGATACCATCACAATTAAGTCCCACTGCAATACAAACACATGCAGACAAGAAAAGCTGATTTTTAGAGAAAGAAAATCATGCAAGGTACAAACGGGTTATGATAAATCTTTCGCTTTTCAAAAGTTTGTGCTTTTTACAGCTTGCTTACGGGCCTTATTCGACCTTTTGTTCCTGATAAAGACATGCAATTTTCTTCACACTGATAAATTCAGGTGGATGAAAAGTCTGACTAGCTAAGACAGGATCTACATTAAACAACTGTGTGCAGCTGCACCTTGAGTGCTGTATGGCAATGTAAAAAAGTAAGTGACTGATCATAAATCCAGCTTGTGTTTCGACTGGAATTAAAGCCAACATTTGAAAATTTACTATCACCTGTGCATTTCTTTTTTCTTTTCTTTTTTTTTTTTTTTGCAGTGAATCGGCAACAGAGATATAACCCCTTCAGGAACGTAAGAAGGCGGCAGCTTGCAAAAATGCCGCAGTGCTACACATACTGCTGCACCTTCTACTCCCTAAATGGCATTTCCAGGCACCGCTGGGTCATGGCACACTGGAGGACGGCTCAAGGAAAACTTTATAGCTTTGATACAAGCGCAACAAACGTCAGTGTAATAACAATTCAAACTTCCTTCTCTTTCCCCTCTAACAGAGACCGCCTGGCAGAGCCTTGGTGGAAATACCAGAATCTGTATCGCCTTTGGAGCACTCAGTTGCAGGAACAATCCATTACCGGCTCATCAAAACTTTCATTTTATTTAGGCTTTTTATTACTTATCCGGAAAAAAATCTAGTGTCTGAGAAACAGCTCTGTGGCTTTTGTTACAAGATAAATAAAGCGCAGGTAGCTTGTGTACATACAAATACAATACTGCGTGTGCTGACAGCATGGCTAAGAGCTCTGTGAGGCTGTACCTCATGCAGAAGTTGTTTCATACATGGAAACGCAAAGGCCGCTCGAGTCATAAACAACAGAAATCCTTCCTAAACTGCCACACTACTTTTGAGCAGAACTGTGCTAATGAAAATGCTGTAATATTCCTCCATTGACTGACCCCCAGCTATTCCAGGTTATTGAATTTGAAAAGGCAAATCACCGAAATACAGCACACGGGTGACTGTTTCCTTCAGCAATTCGTTGCAGTTACGCACCTAAAACTTTAAAACGCCACTAACATACATGCGGGCAGGAAGGGCCAAAGTCGGAAACTGTAACCTGTTTTTCTTTTCTGAGCTTGCTCATTTTGCACACCTCCCTCTGCATTTCTGCCTTGTTCACCGCTGCTCTGGGAAGCCTGCATCCCACGATCCGGAAAGTTTAATCCCAGCTCTGCTAGTAACACCCTGCAGTTTCAGGCATGTTGCTTTAACGTTGCTTCAATTTCACTCCCTGTAAATAGGGCTAACGTTTACATTGGAGAACTCCTTTGAGGATGAGCAAATTCTGTATGGTAGGGGCGCATGCAGTGCAACGGCATATGACCTCTAAGTCTTTTCATCCTCGTTCTTCACTGAATTCCATGCTTTGCCCTTTTCCTTTCTGTAACGCGCCATTCTGTAACAGACCCGTTAACCTGAATGAGCCCGCAATGGGTTGGTACCCTCAAGTTCATCGAGCTGTCCACCCACCACTGTTAATGCGAAAGGCCACCTTACTTCACATCATGACTTCCATAATGCAAAAAGGATTAAACCTAGAGAATTAACACCTTGCCTTTTTAAACTGTAACATTAAATTAACAGAGAAAAACAGGAACTCCTTCCTGCCCCTGCTGGATGAAAATTACTCCTTCTACATCCACCATTAAGTATACCTGAGTCGTCTCTGAGTAGGACTTCTATATTTACTTGGTTTTCTGTAATACTTCTTAAGATAGCACTTAAGGTTTTAAAGGCTGACGTGACAGGTTCTGACGTTTTCCCTTTGGCCATCTCTAGTCAAGCGTGTACTACTTAGGAAAGACCACACAGAAGGCACAGCAAACAAGATCACTCCTTACTGCAAAACGTCCACCTGCCCTTCTTCCTTTTCTAAAAGGCTGTAGAATCACCGGTGGTCTCCGACTCTGTAGCACCAGTATCCGGGGTCTCCTCTGACCGAGACTCACTGTTTTCCAGGGACGTCTTTTTTCTCATTTTCCTTCTTTTCACGTTGGTGTCAGAACTTTGATTCTCAGTATCACAGGAAGCATCGGTTTTACCAGAAGTAGCACTAGTTGTGCTTTTTGTCCCTTCGGTACCTTTGGAAGCAACGCTGATTTCGCTGTCTAGGCAACTAGATTCGTTCTTGCTGATCGTCTCCTCCCCGTCACTGGCATCTGTAGCAACCTCTTCTGTGCTTTCATCCACGCTATCTTCACTATTAACACCCGATTTTCCTTTCTCGTTTTCTTTAGCAGTAGCAGTTTTTGCATTGGCAGAAGACCTTTCAGGAACAGTCTTACCAGCTACGTTCTCCGCCGTCTCATCGGAGATTGCCCTGACCCGCTCCACGTCTGTTTCTTCATCTTCTTCTGACACCTCTTCTATCGTGTCTTCTATTTCAAGACTGGCTGAGGATGTTTTGCTCGTATAGCTGGATCTTGACACTTTCCTGTACCTGGTGTCCCTCTCACTCCCGGATGCATGGGAACTAACTGCTGACTTCTGGCTGGAGCGCCTTGCTCCTCCACGAGACCCTGCACTTCTGACACTTGACCTTTCAGTACTTCTGCTGCTGCTGGACTCGCTAGGCCCTGATCTGCTGAACGAACCTTGCACGGAGGAGCAATTTGATTGGCTATCGTCTTCATCGCTTTCAGAGTCTTCCTCGTCGTCTTCCTCCTCAGATGAGCCCTCCTCAGAGTCACTACTAGAGCTGGATCCCGAGTCGGCATCTTCAGAATCACCAAAATCGTGCCCATCTTCTTCATCAGAGTCCACGGTACTTTCGGTGGCTTCATCTTGGTCCAGTGTTACTTTCAAATAGTCTTTATCTTCTATTCATCATCTTAGGTGTATTTTCTTCTCGTCTTTTTCTTCCTCTCATCATCACTCTCCTCGTGTTCGCTTTCTGCTGTGATGTTTATTGAAACACCTGATTTTGTTTCCTCTCCTCCGTATTCTTCCTCTCCTTTTCCTCTTGCATGGACCGATTCTTTGCTAGTAGGCCCCTGAATTTTTCTGGAGACACTAATGCGTTTTAACACGTGGTTTAGTTTTCTCATGGAAGGTCTGCCATCGGTTGATTTCTGGAAGTAATTTCCCTTGATAATCACGCTTTCGTCACCGTCCACTTGGCGAGCAGACAGGAGCTTGGCGTAACTGGAATCTTTCCTACTGCCTTTTACTTTCTGCAGGATCATGGGGAATATCTTTGCTTTCTTCCACGGAGAACGAGCAGACTCAGCTCTTCGTACTGGCTTGTGAGCGCTGACTGCTACGCGACTTAAATGCATTACTGCTTTTAGTTTCCTTTTCCCCTGGCTGGTCCTGTATGCTCTTCCAGAACCATGACTGAGATCCATCCCACCACCTACAGGTCTACCTTCTATTTGAGCCCCTGCTCTCTGGCTTACTGCTCTGCTTGAAGGACCTCTGCCTTGACTCATTCCCTGCAAATTATGAAAATGGAACTCGATTACGACTTGAAAGATAGCTGTTAGGAAAGCTTGTACCCTAACACAAGAGAGGAGGAACAAATGCAACATTTTTCCCAGCTTCAAAACTAACTTACCCGTTTTAGGATAGCTTTTTACCAAAGTTACGGGGAAAATTTTACTTTTGGAATAGGCAGCTAGCGTACAGCTATCTTACTCTCCAACAGTGAAAAATACTGGCTCATAAACGTTACCTCATTTAATTAACATCTACATGATGGATTAACGCTCTAGCATTGCTGAACATTAAATAAAAAAATGAACCTCTGCATCAACTTTCTTCTGGCTGCTACTGACATTTTAGAATTTCTTTCTGTTCAATTAGGAGGGCTACGATAAATTAATTTAGATGACCGCTTTGCTCACTGGAAGATCACCAGTTATAGGCTGAGCATTAGTAATACCCCGTTTGGTTGAGAATGTAAAACAGAGTTACCTAAGGCTGCGGGCACTTTTCATTGAACTATAAACCCGCATCGAGGACAAACTGGAGGTGCCTATTAAAAGAAACTTTGCAATTCCTTTTTATTTCTAGAAAAGGGAAAAGAGGTGCTGACGTAGGCTTTACCAGGCAGCAGAACGGCACACTACGATTAGCATGGGAAGAGCTGCTGCTTTCATCTATACGCAATCCAACAGTCTGATCAATTACAAAGAAAAAAATTTGACAAAGTTTAAGGATACTTTGTCTTTTTTCCAAAGCCCGCATCAAGAGGCCGGATACACTTACTTCTTCCGCTGTCGATCCGTGGGGACTGTAGTAATAGCCGCCATCGTTCTCCACCACCACTTCCCCGTACTCGTCGTACATTCCCGAAGGAGACAGCAATCGGCGGCGACTCCCGTACTGAGGCAGCTCGTATCTGGCAAAAACAGGCACCAGTGTAGGCGTGCGCGTTTCCGCATACAGCAACAATTGCACTCGTTCACATCCCTAAAGGACAGCAATTTCTTTGCTCTTTCTACCTTTGAGAAGGACGTCGATGTTTTACGTCAGCAGTGATGCAATCCGAAACATACGTAAAAATAGTGCTCTTACAACTGGAGGGCTGTAACTGGGCCAGAATTTCTTTCAACGTACTTGAATTCCCTCCCCAACTTTTTTTTTTTTTTTTTTTAAATTTGGGAAGCCAAAAAACAGATTCACTTGGGATCAGTGCTGGAGGACCCCTGCAAGCTTCTAAGAAAACCGATAATCCCTAAGGACTGGCATTCCTATCAGACATCATTAGAACGAGGCAGAATGATAGGATTTTAGGCAAATACAGTAAGGCCAGGGGCTGGCTGCAAACAGCGAGCAGAGCATGTCGGAGGCTGGTGAGCCACAGAAGGGGAGGAGATAACGGAAACTCATTTCCAAGACAGCAAAGATGAGCAAATAAATAGCAAATATAGCAGTGGCATGGATATAACCACTCCACAGTATAATATTTAGATTCCTAAACAAGCAAGGACTTCTTATACAACGGCCCTTTAACTTTTGAAGGGAGAGTTTGGCTGTCGGCACTTGCATTCACGGACAGAAAAATTTCAGTAATCCCAAAGCAAGGGAAAGGAAAGTCTTCAGACTGGATGCTGCAATAAAAAGCATCGCCAACCTTGGAGAGCAGCACTTTCAGAAACATATAGAAAAAATATATATACCCATGCTCATAACTGTAGTAATCTTGCCCATAGTATTCCTGCCCTGGGTCAATTCCAGACTCCATACTTAACTCCTGCCAAAAGAGAAACACCGATTGAATACAAATACTTGCCCACAGCATGACTAATGTCAAAGATGAACAGAACAGTATCCCAAACTGCAAATAAGCAAAGAAAAATAAAAGGATCATCGTTCAGGCAACACCGATAACTGCCAAGAACCCTAACAGGCTGTCAACAGGAGCTCTAGATGCCTGCAGTGCCCCCTTGCCTGGGGTATTCCCCGTGAGGGAACAGCAAGTCCCGTTTGCTTTAACGCTTATCCTGGAAACGCTACTCGGTCTAAAATACTGGCAAATTTTGGGTTCATAAACCCGAGCCCTCTCTGCATTTCACAGCAGCGCCCTAATGCTTTTATTATCTTGGCGGGCCAGCCGCTTAGTTCATCTCTAGGACAAATAATCAACTATGAGCTGACTGACACCTGAAAAAGCGGATTGCAGTTGGATAGCGAGGCAATCTTTCTGCCTGCAAATCTGGACACAAGGCTAGGAAACTTCTCAGTCAGCGCGACGAAGTCAACAGGAGCAACTGCAAGACGCTCAAGGGAAAAACATCAAGAGACAGTAAATTCCAGGTCATTAAGTGGGCCAACAATGACAAGACTTTTTTTTACTAAAAGAGTCAAGAAAAAAAAAACAAAACACCTACCCAGGAAAAATGAGCTTTGGTTAGAAAATACTGTAGAAGTCATTTAAAAGTTACAGAATACTTAAATAAAAAGCAATGGTACCTCTGGTCTGAGAAGAGACGGTCTCAGCAACTGCTGTTGCTACCAAAGAAAATTAGAAAGGGGTTAATTAGGCAGCACCAATTAAAGTGCACATCATTTGCATCTGAGTTAAGATCAGAAAGAACTCTTTGAAACACAGGCAGGTCAGAGTTTTCATGTGGCGATGAGCCAGATACGTCAAAGCTCAGCGAGCACTCGCGCATTTACGTTTCAAGTCAAACAGCGCAAGCACGTAATGCAGTGAAATCTCTGTACAGGTGAGTGCTTCTCTTGTCTGAGATAAAATCGAATTCCCAGTTCACGCAGCAATTCTCTCAATTATTTAACTCAAGAACCTTTAAGGGATCCCAGGAGAACTGCGGTGCAGTGTGTCAGGGACGGCGGGGAGACGCACAGGCCAAACAGATGGAAAATAAAGGTCTGCGGTTC